CTTCCCATGGGATATGGGGTCCTTTCTCTCCTCCCACTGCAGTCAGGTTTTCCTCTGAGCCTCTTCCATAAGACAATGTGCATTAGTAGAGGATGAGGCCTCCAGAGGGGACTTTGGGGCCCAGAGCAGGTTTGGGGTCCCTCTGATGGAGCTCCTCCTTCACCTGTGTTCTTCGGCAAGGTGGGAGTTTCCTGCTGCTCACAGCTTCACCTGCTGCAAAGTTTACATAGGCTCGGCAGAGAGTTTTCCTTGTTGATCTCCACAGTGGTCCAGGGGGTCCAACACAGCAGCAACACATGCAAGGCTCCCCATACCATGGGAAGGCCAGGCATGTGTCCCGGATGGGGCTGCAAGCCCCCTCCATCCCCCAGGCACAGCTCCAGCCAGACCCCTCATCTCCGTGATTTTAGCAGACAAGCCCTTCCCGGCTCTCTCCCCAGCTGCCCCCCATGCTGGGGAGTCACCCAACCTCCCCATCCCCATCTTCTCCCAGGAGCCCCCCAGCCCCAGTAAGCTCAACAGCCGTTTAACCAGCAGTGAGCCAAGATCCCGTCACAGCAAACAGCGTCTGGGCGCAGCCTGGTGCTCCTCTGCCTGCCCGCCTCCATCTGCCACCTCTTGTCCTACATCTTGACCAGCAGCGCCCTGCAACCGGGGCCTGCCCGTTCCCTGTCCCTCTGCCCTGCCTGCGCAGGATCCAGATTTGGCTCGAAGGTCTCTTACAAGCTGTGGAAATAACTGGGAGGCTGGGAGCTCACTGGAGTGAAGGAAGACACCACGGGACACATGGTTTGGCTGAACCTTCACCAAGAGATGCTGAGCTATTAACCCCAGGCAACCCCTTTCCCACTCGGCATCCTTAGGAGGGCACAAGCTGCATATCCCGGCTTTCCCCGTATCCTCTATCCAACCAAGGTGGCCACTGCCTGCCCTGTGAGGCTCTCACTAAGTAGCTTTGGCTAAATCCCCGGCTGGAGGAAGCTGCTAATCCCCCCAGCTTTGTGGCCAGCAGGATCGCGGGCAGTGCCGGGGTGGCGGGCAGCTTCGGGGATGGTGCAGCTGAGGGCAGGGCAAGTGCCGAGAGAAAAGGGGGGGG